GAAAAATCCAAAACCATGGTTGGCTCAGTCTAGAGATTTTTGGAAGTTGTGGAACCTTTGGATTTTTTGCAATTTGGAATTCCCAACATCCGGAAAATGCGTATTTTGGATTCTTCCAATGTTGGAATATTCCGATTTCTAGGGACTCTGTGGATACTTGCACCATGTTAGCGTACTAAAAAATGGTCCTAATGTGTATATATATATACATATAAAGTATCTTCGGGATCCCAGCCCTACACCCTAAAAATCCAAAAGAACCTGCAATCCCTCGAACCCTAAACCCCATGTTTGAAACACCCGCCAACCCTAAACTCTAAACCCTAAACTCCAAACCCTAAACCCTACAATCTACACCCTAAACCCCAAACCGTTAACCCGAAACCTTAAACCCCAAGACCCCTCCCCTCAGGCAGTTGAGCGCAGCGCCAGGTCGACTCCTCGGTGGCCACGCCTGATATCTGTGGCACTCACAAAGGGGAGTAAAATGGGAACCCCAAACAGGGAACCCCAGAAATGTTGTAGGAACATAATAGGAAGTTTCCAAACCCTGGTGAATATATTCCTAGTACAATCCTACTATAGTCTTGGGGCTCGCTGTTTTGGGGTTCCCATTAAAGCCCCTGTCTGAAGGCTACAGTCCGCCTTAGGTAGGATATGGAGTATGTGGGGATCTTGTTATGATATTGGGCAACTCCATAGCCTATCTACTTCAGGGGGACTATTAAAGGCTAAAAAATCGTTTTTGTTGCTGTTACTACTGGTGTTGTTACTGCTTTATTGTTCTTACTTACAATTGAAGGAGCGAGAGACAAAGAGACAAAGAGAGAGAGTTAAGAGTACTTCGGGATATGTAAGGTTTATGATTTTTTTCTCCAAGTTTGTGTTTTAATGTTGGCGACCACCATGGCAAGGGGAGCCTGATTTCGAGCAACTCCCACGCAAGCCCTGCAAATTTATGCTCCAAATCCAAACCCCCCCAAATAAAGTCACGATGATGAACAGTTCAGGCGACTGCCTGGATGAATTCTGGACTCCTGACCTACCTGTTCACCTTCTCATCTGGAGGGCTGTGGGGAAAGGGAGGCAGGGCCTTCTGCAGGGAAGATTTCTCACTAGCAAACAAGTACATAGGAGGTCTTTCGAGAAATTTGCTGCGTACTCCGAGCTCACTTTGCCAGTTGTGGGCGCTCTCCGAAACTCTGAGCACCCAAGACTGATGCAGTAAAAGACCTGAGGCCGCCAAGGCGCCTCTGTCGATGGCCTCCAGCCGTGGCCGGGAGGCAAAGCCTGCAGAAGCTTGGGATCTTGCCGGAGTGTAGTGAGATGTGTATTCAATGCACCGCGGGGTGCGAGTCTCTGTACCGTGTATGGATCGCAAATGATGTTGAACAGATTTTGACTGAGATCCTGTTGTTGGGTATAGGGCACCATCTGCGGGTTGGGATCAATGTGTGGTTGCTGGCACACAAAGGCCGGCTCGGCGCCACGCACATTGGTAGACTTAAAACGGAAAACATGCAGCGAAATCGCCTGAGACAGCTTCACGGCTTTCAGATGAGTAGAATGAAGCCCCAGAACCCTATAGTCCCCCCAAAGTAGATAGAAGACAGGGTATACGGGGATCTTATTATAATACACCCAACGCCATATTCTATGTACTTAAGGGCGACTATACCTCCAGCTATCATCAAACCCCCATGTAGCTGTTAGACCGGATGTGGAGTCTCTCGGCAAAGCTGCTAGCACTGAGGCACAGCAGGGCCCGTCACGCACCCCGTCTGGAGGGTCAGGGGACCTACAGTATACTTTGGGTCCTGCCCCCACCCATTAACAGTCTGTAATAGGGGTCATATTAAGGGCTATATATAATTGTATTATGAATATTCTCCAACTGTTAATTAGTGAGGGCAGTACCCAAAGTATACTTATAAACCCGATAAGCCATATTATACCAATCAGATCCCCACCCCGCCTAATACCAAATGTTCCCATACATCATAATGAACCCTTCGTAAACCTATATAATCCCTTCCCTTATACGTAATCCCTAGAAAGCCTTACATAATCCCTATACAACCCTACATAATCCCTATATAAACCCATGCTTAAATCTACCCGAGAGACAAGGACTGCCCCGGCCTCCTGGGATCTGACCCAGCCGGCAACCAACATCGACCCAGGCCTCGGCAGCGTCGAGGTTGAGTTAGGGTCAGGGGCTCAGGGTTCAGGGCTTAGAGCTTAGGGTTTAAGCTCAGGGTTTAGGATTCGAGGTTTAGGAATTAGGGTTTAGAGTTAGAGGGGGTACCCCGAGATCCCTTCAGAGGGGTTTCAGAGGGGTTTCGAGGTAGGGTCTACTTTGTGGGACTCTTGGCTACAAATGGGTTAGATAACCTATTCTTTTGCATGGCTAGTATAGGATGATGGTGGACTTATTAAGGGGGTATAATCTGTTGCCTAACTCGCGGGTCCCTCAAAGTAGACATCCCGGTTTCTGGGCTGCACCCATGATCACAACACCTAACCCGCCCCTATTGTTGAGGGACACTATGTGCAAGCAAGCTCAGGAGGGACATATTGACAGCAACACATCTCAGGAGTCCATCACCTCCCCGAACTAGAAACACTGTATTAGAACAGAATACTTCCCAGGCAATTGAGGTTGCTAGGTGGTACCGAATGGAAGCGGCGTAGAAACATTGACAAGCAGTGAGACACAGGGTGAGAGTAGAGATATGATAGTGGCCCAATTACCTTCGATTCATACAAGGGGAAGCTAACTGCCAACCTTTAAGCTCATAGACTCCAGAGAAAAAATGACCAACTGGGTGGCGCTGTAAAACCATTTCTCAATACGTTCCCTAAACCATTTCTAGATACGTTCCCTTGTGCAACAGCAGCAAGGGCAATCATTTATCATGCCAAAATGCCTCCTGAGCAAGAATGACGCCTTGCGCGGAGCACTGTGAAGCTGAGCACCAGGCGTTGCCGCTGAATTGCCTCACCTCCTCGATGGGGCAAGGCACCTGCGCATTGACCATTGCTTGATGATATGGGACTTGGCCTAAATACTGGACCCGTATTTGAATGATTTCAGGCCAGTCACCATGTAAGCTCAACAAATGAAACTCAGGGCTCGCGAATCAAGAAAGAACATCCCAAGAACAACGTATTACGTTTCTGCTGCTGGTGTGCTTGCGTATGCACCAGATCTGGAAGCTTGCTCTGCCTCCGAAAACTGAGCCATAGTCTAAACTCCTAGCATCCCACTAAGAACCCCCTTTATACTTCCCGATTTAATACCCCATAATAACACCTGTAAGGAGTTTAGACTGTAGCTAATCGAAGCGACTACCCTGAAGAGATGGAAATTGTTCTTAGCGAGACCTTGCTTCTGAATGGGTAGTTCCCAAAATTAGGGTCCTGTTTCGTACCCCTAAGTATTAGGTGCCGTAATATAATCTATAACAAAAAGGAGCCCAGATTTTTGAGAACAATTTCAATGAACGATCCGAATAGAAGCCTTGTGTCAAGTCCTGGTTATGCGAAGCTGCCTGGGCTGAACATGTTGTTGCTTTCGGTAAGGTGTTGGTAAGCTCTCCTTTCAAGGCACACAACAAAATTACAACGACAGGCGCGCTGCTTCATCCCACACGCAGCCTTAGCAAAGAAACGGTGATTCCAAGTACGCCCATGCAATGATAAGAACCCACCCCAAGAAGAAGAGCAATGATCAGGTAAGAAAGCAGAGCCCCGGAATGCGAAGTGATAGGAAGCCTATACCCCTTCCTAGCCCCTATATAACCTCGATATAACCCTACATAACCCCTATACAAACCATGTATCATCCGTACATAGCCGAGACACTCCCTCGAAGCTGATGTTCACGAGCCCGCCGGCCGGGTTCGCGATGACGTCCTGGGCCCGTTGCCCAGGGCAAAAAAGAACTGACATCGTGTTTGGGAATGGGGGAGAGCGGGACTTCTGGAGACCCTTAACAATAACAATACTATATACTCCGCATTACAGAGCCCACAAAAAGGGACCCCTGGTGTTCGGAAAGTTCGGGGCATATAAACGATTTAGGCTGGGGTGGACGAGGAATTCCAACCTCCAACGCCCGTGCAGTTCCTGAAGAAAGGATCGCAACCACGGTTCTACACGCCAGGCGGCTTTCTTAGGGTAGGGCAGATGAGACATTCAATGTTATACCTTTGCTGGGTTAGCAAGCTCACTGGGCAGGATTATAATTAGCAAGCTCGATATCAACGGCAAGAAATCCTACATCTCGGCGAATTGAAGGAAACTAGCTGCCAATGCGCAACAGTTCCATTCCCATACTGTTAATGGACAGAAGCCTGCATGAATTGAACAAAACTGAAAGTGGGAGGACCCCAATAGCCCCACAGAATACGAAAATCCATATTAGAAGGACCCCCAAAAAGGTGCCTTCAAGTTTGTCCCACAACACAAAGACCTCCACACCTCACAGGAATGGAAAAAAAGCCTATGGGCAAGGCTTCGATGAAGGTCAAAAATCAAGAGTTTGACTATGGGCCCATGGAGCGTTCAACCTAACAACATTATGAAACGCCCCGGACATCAACGAAGAAGGACCCATACAATCCCAGTAGAAACCTCCTTGCTACTTGCTGATTGAGGTGGTGGCTGTGATCGTCTGCGATTCGCCAAGCCTCAGATATTTGGCTTGCTTCCGCCAAACTACAGTAGTTTTACAAAACAGTTTAGGGCTTAGATTCTGCAATCCCTACAGGTACAATCCCCCGTAAGTAGATAGAATATGGACGTGCCCCATATCAGAATAAAATCCCCATATACCCAACGTAGGTTGACTTGCAATACTTTCCAGGACAAGAGGTGCTGTATGATGTGCCCAATTCGTGCCCAAGCAACCCTTCTTCCACACATCGAGGAAGTCTGTAAGGTTGAGGTGAAACAAGGTTTGCTTAAAGCAGTGGCAGCCAACTTTCAGCAGCAGCTCATGGTGAAACATACCATGCGGGCGGCATCCAGGTTTCGAGCGCCGCGACCACGACGGGCTCACGGCTCTTCCGTCGTGAGCAAATGTGCTGCCTTGACATCCTCCTTCTGGCAGCTGTCTGGGCAGGAGAGACTCCGCTCTTTTGCTGGCTCCAGCTCAGACTTGTAGCCGGGGGGAGGGTGAAAGTTTCACAGGCTCCCGCTTCAAGGTCAGCCTCGCCGGCTGCTCCATTTTCAATTTGGATTGATATATCGGGAACCTCTGAGCCAAAGGGCACTAGGCTTGGACTCAAAGGCCTCCGAAAGAATTTCTTGAGCCGCTTGAGACCCCAAAAAGTCCCATGCCGGCCGCCGTTGTCCTTCATGGTTTTGATGGTTAGGCCGTGGCCAATGTTGAGAAGCTGCTCCTGGGCCATGGAGGCCAGAGGTGAAAGGGGCGGCGATGTGGCTGCCAGCAACGCCGTCGGAATGCTGGCAGCACTGTTGTCATACAGGCCAGGAGAATATGACAAATGTACCAACATTCCGAAGGTTCCAGTTCTGCCTCTTTTGCGATGTTGGTCTTGCCGCAAAGCTGATGTGCGAGCCTCTCTGTGTAGTGGCACAAGGACTGCCAACTGGCCAAAGCAGCGATCAGCAAAAGGCTGCAGCCAAGTAAACCCCCAAAAAAACAAGCCAAAGCCGCCTTGCAGCCTGCGGCTGCCGATGATCATCCCTATGGATATGCATATGTCCGCTGCGCAGGCAATGGCAATTAGAGAAGCCAAGGTGGTAGCAGAGACCACGAATACCAGGAAGGTTTTGCGGTTGTGTAGTGGTGGTCAAAGTCTTGTACACAACAATCGCATTCCTTGCAGTGAGAGCAGCCCCGTGGGCGTCGGATGTTGCAAGTCTCGCAGACTTTCAAGCTTCGCAAGTCCTTGTAAATGCTGAGCCAAACGGCCTCAGCTTGCTCTATGTCGGGCTATGCGGCATTCTCGTCCGCTTCCAGGCATGGCACTGTCAGCAAGCGCTGTCGGAAGTTGTCGTTGAGAGCTGCCGCCGAGCGCTCGTCCCCTTTGCCCTGACTTGTAGCGTAAAGCTGCAAGAGCTGAGAGACCTCGCCGCGAGTCCCTGAGGACAGGGCCATGGCTGTCAGCTGGTGGCTTCTCGGTAGGAATGCGGGGTCCATCAGACCTGCTCGCACGAATGATGTTGCGGAGAGGGCCAGCAGGAGCCCAGCGGTCGCTTCCAGGAAAATTCTGCAGGCTGAGAGGCGCGGCGCCTCGAGGAAGATAAAAGCCANNAAGACCACCATCAATGGCAGCGACACTGCCGCCGGACAGGGAGCCCTGGGGAGCAGGAAACGGCCCCAGCAGACGCGGTTGCTCCCGGCCCATAGCTGCCACAGCTGCATGTTGGACAACACTAGGCTACTCCGTCAAGTGAAGTGGCGACGGCTGCACGACCCTGCAACTGACACATCCACTGCAACGCTGTACTGGGCTGCAAGTAGCATCCTCGAATGACAACAATTAAGGCAGTAAAGCACAACTATCAACGCATCTATGCTTGCGGCTGTCAGCTCTGAAAAAGGAACAGCCCTGGCTGACCAAAACTCACAGGACATTCAAAGGTCCGCGCTCAGACACACGCAAGAAGACGCGGTCGCCCGGCAGCCATAGCTCGTCCTGTGCGCTTAATGATGTCAGTGCTACTGTTAACGTAACTAATAGTCTTGTTGGTGTCGCATTTGCTGGTGGCGCCAGTGATCACAGAAGTAGGAATATCTGCCTCTAAGCGGTCGTGCTTTCTTGCAAAGTCTTCTCCTCACAATACCAACGTTAATCATTCAAACCATGGCTCCCAAAAACCCACTTATTCTCAGAATGGTTCTTCTTGTTTCCATCAGTATTCTACTCTCGAAAGATACATCCCGCAGCGTGATGCCGAGCCTGCTGGGAGTATGCCGTGTCAGTGCCCTGGAGGACGCAGCAGCTGTCCTGCAAAGATGCTGTAGGCTGAGGGTGCCTTAAGTCCATCCTATTTTGGTTTAGGGTTTAGGGTTTAGGGTTTAGGGCATACACACAGGAATGTAAAGGATAATGATATGAGGAGATGGGCTTAGAGCTCCGTCCAAAGAACGCTGAAATCCCCCCTGTAAAAAAGGGCAGGGAAATCGAACACATTTCTGAGAGTGCTTCGCCTGCTGCAGGAAGGCAAAAGCTGAAGCAAAACCAATTGAGCTACGGTGAAAACCCCTAGCATCCCCCTTAATAACCCCTGTAGTAGTCCCCTATATGTTACCCTAAATAACGCCCTTTTCAGGAGTTTAGACTATAGCTCACTTGCAAAGTTCACAACTCTGCCCATGGTTGAAGCCTGCAGCGCATCTGTGGACGCTGAGGTCCAGCCTGAAGCTGCGAAAAGGCTACCGTGGAGCTTACGGTGTTCTGTGCGGGCTACATACCTATGATGAAGAAGCCCTATTTCCTGAAAAACCATTATGATAACTTGAATTAGGCTCCTTGACAGCAGCTCGTTACTTAGTCTAAGTTCCTGCACAGCAACCCAAGTTATGGAAAGATTACGCCAAGGCCCCGGCTGCAGCTATAGCTCACGCACTTGAGGAACCCAGCCTGGCTGCTCCAGTACTGTGTGGGGGTTTCCCAAACTTAGGTATACCTTTTTGGGGGTCCCACAATAGGGTATATAGACTTTGGGGGGTCTATGTTGGGGTCCCCCTATGTAGGGACGCTACCGTATTGATGCGATCAAGAAAGGTTATGCCCCACACAAGCTTGAGAATATGTTGCACGTAATTTCCGATGTTTTTCCATTTGATTTGCAGTTCATGTGGTAATACTACCTATGGATCTCTATCGTAGTTCCTAAATAACCCCCAAATAGTTTACTTAGTGGTGGTTATTCGGGAATGAGAGAATAACATCTCTATACAACCCTTGATATTACGCTCCTTGCTCCCTACTAAGCACCAGTAAGTGTAGTACTGCCCAGATTCCGGAAAAGGGATGGGACAGTCGGGCGGCCCCACTGCAACAGGATGATGGATCAGAACTCTCGACTCCCACTTCGAGCTGCTATGCTTAGGGTTCATATAGGGTTTAGGGTTTAGGCTTTAGGGTTTTAGGGTTTAGGGTGTATAACTCCATTGTAGCCCTGTAATTGATAATAGTTGATAGTTCCCTAGCCCATTAGTCCACAAAGCATGAGGTATCCGCACCTCCTCCTCCTCCTTGCTTAGATCCACTAAGTTGTCAAGCTATACTCCGTGCCCCCTTGATTTCGGGGTCACAGTATCCTGTACCCATCCGAGAAACAAGCATAGCTATGCCACCTGAAGCCCAGCCTGCTACAGCTTAGTAGAGCGTACCAGCAGTTTGGCACTAACGGCCCTGGATCAGAGCATTGCGCTCATCACTTCGGGGTAGCTTCCATAGTTAGGACTGGGTTTTGGGTTTATCGTACGTGTATCGAGGTTCTGGCACAGCGGCTGTCGTAGCTGCAGGTTCCTCCATGGCATCGGCACTTGCAAGTCGGGTTTGCAGGAGTGGTGCGAATGTTCTGATTTGTGACCTAACTGTTGCAGCTTCTTACGATGAGGCAGAGTGGAGGGTCCTGAAACAGAATCCTGGGACAAGTACTTCGGGCTCAAACGTTCGGTAGAATGCTATTTATGCTATTTGTTGTTTTCAGCTCTTGTTGCTCGTCATGGGGAGTTGGGGTAACTGAGTTGGTATCACGTTGAGACTGGGAGTATGTATGGAGTACGTCTGCGCCAACACCACGCTTAGAAGAGCCAGGGCTGATCCTCCTCCTGCTTCTTCGCTTGTGCTAACCTAGGAAGGTAGATTACGAAAGACTGGTGTTGTCCATAGCAGCACGATAAGAATAACTACAAGGGGATATAATTATCCATAACAGTAACTATAACGGGGCCCAGTAACTGTAAAAGGGTATGGGTAAGAACCTGTTCCTAACTTGAGCGTGTTCCTACCTTGGTGCACACATTGCCGCCGCTACTACTCTCACAGCGGGGAACGAACCAACGCCGCCTTTCAATCCTTCACGCCACACATAGTTTCCGCTTCATTTTCCTATGTGATTTCCATGTGCTCTATTCCAAGATATGAACCACAGTCTAAACTCCTAGTATCCCCCTTGATAAGCCCTATAGTGATCCCCTATATACTCCCCTATAACCCCTTTTAAGGAGTTTAGACTACAGCTTACAGACCCGTACATCCTAAATGTTGCTCTCGTGGCGAGCCTTCGTTGACGCCACAGGGCGCTTCTTGAGTGCAGCAGCCACCTGCTGAGCATGGAAACCGCTTTGAATTCCAAGTGTCTGAGGTTTAGATGCAGGATGTCTTCGTATGAGGTGGTTGACAAGGTCTTAGAGGTGCGTTATAGGGTTTTACAGGCTTAATAGGGCTTTACAAGGGCTTAATAGGGGCTTTGTAGGTTTAATGGGATTTTATGCGGACATACGCAGACCATGCAAATTCGTTCAGCGGCCGGCCTTGAAAATCCACGACACTACTGGTTCTTACTAGGGAATATGGGAATATACAGTATACAGGGTATCTCGGGATTATATTCCCTTGTTCCCTACTGAGAACCTGTAAGCAACTCCTGATGCTGGACCAAAATGTGCTCAATTGAGGGCACATGCATTGCACAGTGATTGCGCCACGTGTTGTTGACAATGTCGTCAAGTGCGCGTTTTTCAAGTGCACGCAAGTTTGAACGGATTCTAGAAATTAGCATGGGGCTACGCTCCCTTATGACCCAATTACTCAGTACCACCTTGTCTCAGGCACGCACACCGACCTTCCAAAAATGCAGGTCAACTTGCGATCGGCTCTACCAGAGTAACACCCCAGAAAGTAGTTTCCACATTCTTTTCCATTCTCTTTCTAGCCCCAGTATAACTCCTATTTTACTATAGTAGTTTCCATTTTCTTTTCCATTATCCCTATATTATACCCTAACAACAATATGACTGAATTCCGGAGGGAGCGAGCCCAGAAGCCTCAACAAACGAACCTTGAAACTTGATTTCAGGCGAGGGCTATACATGCAAAGGGTTTAGGGTTCAGGGTTAAATTTCCACAAATGGGGGACCCCCTTGCAGACTCCCAAGAACTATAACCCTTTCAATAGGCACGCTGCACACTGCAAAAAAAAAAACCTCAATTTTGGTAAGCCCCCACATGGCAGAAGCGTGTGAAGGATTAAGTTTAAGCAGTATAGATGGTTCCTGCCGAGGGCCGGGCTGTTACCGTTCTCAAGGTCTGAAGCATCAGAGCCGCATCCAACCGCTGTACCCTGAGACACTGGGTTGCTGTTCAGAAACTTAAATTAAGTTACTGGAGCAAGGGAAGGCTATAATTTAATGCATACCTGTGTTCTGGAACCTGAATTTCAGTTCCTTAACAGCAACCCAGGTCAGGCGTACTAGCTCGTCATCGTTTCAAGCAGTGCGGAAATACTCTTAATACTACTGCGGAAGGTATCACATACAACTGTCCTGATCAATTCATTGTTTCCACGCAGAGTTGTGACAGAGCAAAGCGCTTGTGGCAGGCACAGCTGTACAAGGGCACCGTAAACCCCTAAACCCTAAAGCCTGAGGGCCTGCCGGTTCTTCAACGTCGGGGCTTCCGACTGCTGCAGTAACTACGTTGATGTATGCCTGCATATGACCACA